ACTTACTATGGAGCCCAGGCTGGCATCAAACTCACAGCCTCCTGAGTGCTGGGATTACAGATGTGTGCCACTACATCTGACCGAGAGCTTTTTAATGAACAGGAAAACACACACATACACACATACACCTTTCAAGCACCATCCATGGTGCCAAGAGCTGACGATGTGGGTAAGCAGAAGAAACAGACCCTCTATCCATGAAGCTACAGGACTGCAGGAAGACAAGTGTGGAGCAAGCATAGCCATGACAGAAACAAAGTTTTTCTTTTTCACATGATAGTTGTCAGGCAGTTCTTACACCACAGTGATACAAACCCCAACTGGCCCAGAAGGCTCTGTGCCCAACATGAGTAAAGCACATTTTCTGGCCTTAAGAACCTTGCTAATCAAAAAACCCACATGAACAAATATAAAACAAATATAAGCAACAGACATGTACATTTCCAGGCTTTGACTGGTAATGGCATGAAGGGCAGTGAAGAGGAAACCCAGATGTGCTCCTAATCTGGAGCACTCTGTCCGGCACAGCTGGTTTGGCCTTCTCATTATTCAGGAAAAAGTTTGCTTCCAGGGGCCCCAGAGAGAGAAGTGAAAGGCAGCTCTTCCTGCCACCTCTAGACCTTCTCTCTATCCATGTCCCCCCAAGGGACCTCAAGATACATCTGCCTCTGCCTTCCTGCACACCACAACCAAGGCAAGAAGCCAGGAGGAAGTGGTCAGGGAGCTCTGCAAGGCTGAGCTCACCCTCATCCTGCTGCTTAGTGCTGTGGTCAACAGTGACAGACCTGTCACTGCACTTGGAATCAGGTCTCACAGCCCCATGACAAGTACCTACCTCATATGGGTGGTAGACTCCTTCTCTCCAACTACCTCACCCAAAAGAAATGGCTCTGAAACACTAAGCAAGAAAATAAGCAGGTAAATACTGTAGAGAGTGTGTACCAGTAGCTGAGAAGTGACAGGCATCTGCACAAACATGGCCAGCAGACACATTGCTCAGCCGGCACAATGTTGAAGTCCTGGGAAAGTTTACATACACATCTTGACATCCAGCTTTTCTTGAAATGCCAGATGATCAGACAACAGGGAGTCTTAAGTCCACAATAGAGTCTGAGAGGTGGTGCCCTCTTTATGCAGGACATCCCCATTTTCCAGCTCCCCACCTCAGGTAGCCTATACTCAGAAGCCCACCACCTGCTTATACAGCCCGGTTGGACACTCCAGGACACAAACTTCTGGGTCCTGAACCTAAATGCAGCAATTTTTATATTTCATACTACACTGAGTGGAAAATCAAGAAGCACGGAACTAAAATAAGTACACAGTAAGGTTTTTGAGATTTTTTTTTTTTCATTTCCTCACTGTAGTACATAAGCCATGACCTACACGAGCTATAACGGATATGAGGGTAACAGGGAAAAGGGTAACGGAATAATGCATTCCATGTGAAATTAGTGAAAGCAAGCCACAGGTATAACACCTCCACATGAGGCACAGAGTCGGCCAGACCACCACACACAGGATCTAGCTCTCAGTGCCTTCACTCCTTCTAGTGCAGTTTGAAACAGGCTTTCACCAAACACAGAAACCAACTGCATATACAACTCTGAACCTCAGACCTCTCTGGACAGATGCCGTCCTCATTCTCTGTAAGAAAGTAGAGAGGAACCAATTTCTCTTTATCAGTTCCAAAGAAAAGGGAAGTAGGGTGAAGTTCAAGTTTTCCACACAGATGTGGGAAACAGGTTATGCAACCTAAAGCCTTAGCATACCTAGATACAACTTCCAGTAAGAGCAAGCCTCAAATACATTGCAATAGAGGCTGGTAATTGTTTCTATTATCTATCATGTTATCCCAATCCTGAGACAAAAAAAATTTTCTCCAAAAATGAAATATATTTAAAAGAAGTGACATGGGTTTCTGAATCCTAACCACATCAATTAATACACTTTCTTATCAGAGAATAGCTTAATCATATTGGTTCTTCCACTACAATACTAATAATGATTGCTATTTTATTACCATTATCTATAATCTTTGAAATACATCCATATAGTGCTTTGTAAACTCAAAATGCCTGTCTCCTTAGAGTTGAACAGGGCAAGTAGGTACTCTATGCCTGTTCAACAAGGATGCTAAGGCACCCAGTCTTTGGTAATTTGCTCAAGGTCACAAAGCTGCTTAGAGTCAACACAGTGCTGCAGCTCACACGAATTCCATAATTATATAAAGTACTTAGAAGTGAAGGGCTGGGGATTTAGCTCAGTGGTTTCAACGCCTGCTACACAAGCGCAAGGACCCGAGTTCAATCCCCAGTACCAAAAAAAAAAAAAGAAGTGAAGAAAATAAACTCCTGGTAAAAAGTAAATAGAAATAAAACTTTGCCATTTGTATGCATATATACACATACCTTGATACACACTAATATATTAAAGCCATATCTTAAAAATTAATTTAATTTTAAATATTATAAAAGGATCTACTTAGACATTCTTTCTGGCAGGTTAACATTAGATGATCAGTCTGAATTACAGATTTAAAATGTAGTTTTTTAATCTCACTCATAAAACAGCATATTAACCACAAAACCACTACTCATTTCATCAGGTCTCTCCAGAGTTGAGTCAATGCTCTGACATAAATATTGCTAAATGGGGCAACTCTAACATTTCTAGTGATGTGTGGCACTAATACGTCCAGGACTCAGCCTGGGCACATGGTGCCCTCTCCTGGAAGGAGCCTCCACATGCTGGATAGAGAAGGCTCACACTTAGAGGAAGCTCGGATTAGAACAAGACAAACTCAACCCTTTCAGCTCCAACAGGTTTTTTTAAGGAAAAATTCTAAATATGCACATTTATTTATAAATTCTATACCTATGCCAGCATTAACTCTGTTATAAAACCTAGACAAAAGAAGCATTTAAGTATGGGCTCTAAGCAGAACTTCCAATTTCTCCTTGCACCCCACAGGCTCCTCTCGGACATCTCCTCTGGAGACAAGTGATCATTAGAGAGAACCCCGAAAACAGTGTAATTTTATTCAGAAACTTCACAACATAATCTCTGCCCTTTATAAGACACCTTCATTATCATCTTCCCGTAAGAGTGCTCCTGGGTAATGTGAGTTTCTGTAGGCAAATGAGGCAATAATTCTGAAGTTGGCCAGTTCACTCACTAGAAGGTTACACAGCCACAAGGCCAAAGTGCTTTGAGACCTTAGCAAAGCCCTCACCAGGAAACAATGTAGTTTCTATTCAACTTTTAGCACAGGAAACTCACCAATCCAAAAGGACACCTTGGTATTTGGGGACTCCTACTTTTCTTCCAATAATGTACATCTATGTACTAAAATCTCAGCCACCCTGAAGCCTAAGAAAGTCTTTATTACAAAGAGATGGACTTTAAAATTTTCACCCCAAAAAAGCAGAGAAGTAGTGCTATCATTTGCCTTGCTAAGCAGGGCCTTGTGCAGACTCAGTCAGTATGCTCTCCTGAAGCACTAGAGTATTTCTAAGGAAACTCACATAACAGTTAGAAATACACTCAAACTATACCCTGTTCTCGACACTGTGGTTCTACATGGCACTCATCATCTTCAACCGCATCCTTGAGAAGCAGGGTGATGACTCACAAATTATTTCAAAAGAGGACTAATCTGGACTATGTATCAGGCTCACATAAAGACAGTCAAGGTTTTGGGTTGTTTTTGTTGTTTCATCTTTTCTCTCCACATATCCATTCCCAAAGACTAGTTTAAAAATCAAAGATACTTATAATCAATTAACTAAGGTATTTTTAAAGGCATTCTAAGATTTACTTCAGTATTTCTGGTGCTTATCACAAGCTGGATATATCATAGGCATTTTTCATTGTGAAAAGAGAAATTTTTATTTCTCCCAAGTAAGACTGGGGGAAAAAAAAAATTGAAAATCCTATGTTAATAGATCAGCTCATTCATGAAGCAATGTTTTGCTAGGAAAATATAAAAACTGTCTGTGATTATATGTAAAATCTGCCAGGTATGATAACCAATTCTTTGGTCAAACATTAGTTTAAATGTTACCACAAAAGTATTTTCTAGATGTGATTAATATGCAAACCAGTAAACTTTCAGCAAAGAGTATTCTCTGCAGTGTGGGTGGGCCCCATTCAATCAGCTGAAAGCCCTAAGAGAAGACTGAGGTCCCCAGAAGATGAAGGAATTGGGCTGCCAGACTCCAGAATGCAGCATCAACTTGCCCAGCCTGCCCTGCACACTTCACATTTACCATCTTCTGTGATCACAGTGGACAACAGCAGTCACTTCTTTCTCTAGTACATATAAATATAAAAATACACACAGACACACACTTTTTTTTCTATCGGTTCTGTTTCTCTGGAGAACTAATACACTGTCTAAAGGTTTTTCAAAGACCATGACCACAAATATTCATATACTGCCCTCTACTGTGCTGCATATTAAAATGCATACCCTAAATTAAAGCCAAAACATTGCATAAAGTTCAATCGCTAGATAAAGATATTCTGCTAAAACTAAAATGGAGGATGGTGAAACAACCAAGAAAAATCCAATCAATGTATCAAGGCAGACCAATCCATGGACATTTCTTTTAACCACTTACAGTCCAATTATTTAAATATAGGATGACTATGAATTACATATTTTTAAATTTTTATAACAGGAGATAAAAAAACAACAATTTTATCAAGTTTATTCAACATGAGAATTGACTTCTTGAAATGACACCTGCCAGAGCTACGCTCACAAGAGTAGCATGTAAACAAACACACTGCCTGAGTGATGCTTGGGGTAAACTGTTAGGTGGTTCATAACAGTGGGTCATTTCAGTCCAACAACAGAAAGGTTTCAAAATGTATTTGCTTTCATAAGACATTATACACTTCATAGGAAAGGCTTTGTCAGAGTTTACTGAATGAGGAAAAAGAAAATATGCTTAAAACCAAAAGCCAAAAAGAAGAGAAGAAACATTAACTACCTCTTGGTTATCTTTGTTTTGGTTTGCCCAGAAAATCTTATGATAAAGTGTCTCCATTGAATTGCTGGAATCAGTTCGGTCAAAACAGTGACGATCCAAGACTTCCAACGTGTGTAAAACCCGACTAATAGTCACCCCTAGATGCAGAAATTAAACAGGCAGTTAAAGGGGCCAAATAAAACCAGAACAGCATGGTACAAAATTATCATTATGTGAGGTAAAGGGAATTTTTCACAAGGTATCATTCTCAGCATATACTATCAAAGGAATGCCAACAAAACCAGAGTTGACATTCTCAACAGTCAGGTCTAAAAGGCATAAACTGAACCATGTTCTCAAAAAGCACAAAGGGCTCTCTCAAAAGAGCACCCTTACCAAAAAAAAAAAAAAAAAAAAAAGAGCTTCCTTATCCATGGAGTGTTTTACAGGAATTATAAACATGACATAAGGTCCAATACTCAAAAGCATTCATTCTCTTGTTGCATTCTGTACCTGCTGTCGACTCTTGGCACTTGTCAAAAGACCATCGAACTTCCACTGCACGGCCTCTTTGTTTTATCTGCTGTTCTACCTCATAAATCCTTGCCCGAACCTGAAAGATAATCACTTCTAATTAACTTGAGCTTGGAAAGCCATAGTGGCTGTGTAAATCATGTCAGATAGTGCATCTTATGGTAAATGACAATCTTGACTGCATTATAAAAACCATAGCTGGCTGCCTGAGAAGTACATTTTTAAAATTTAAAAGTCGTGATTCAATGCTAGCTTTCAGTAATAAATGCACATAAAAATAAATGCTTGCAAAAACAATTTAATGCACATTTTCTTTAGGACACCATAGGAGAGATAAAAATTCTAAAACACTCTCCGTAAGCCATTCATCTATCTATGCGGGAAAACAACTAGCAATGTTTTAGTAATTTTAAAAACTGCTTGGTAAAAGACAAGGATCATATTTCAAATATTAGTCATAATCCTACAGTTCACATTACATAAATCCTTAAAATGAATAATGCAGCACTAACAAGAATGTAAAACAATTTCTAAATATCACAAATTACTACTATAGGAGTCACGGTTATGTATTAGAATCACCTCAGAAATTATCATCTAGGTATCAGGACACTCGGCAAGAACTGCCTAGTGAAAAGGTAAACAGAAGGGAATAACTTCATGGACTTCTGTGTTGGAAGAGGCAAAAGAAACCCTAAGGTCACCTGGAGAGTGAGGGGCAGAACTGGGAATGATATTCAAGTATCTCAGATGCTAACACTCAGGCTTTGCCCAGCATCCCCCAATGCCTCTAGAGAATGCAAAAACCTTTCAAACCACTGACAGGGAAGTCTACCTGCTGATTGAAAGCTGTGTTACCACCAGGCATGGGGAGGCTGGAAGGGGCCATCTGCAGCAGATCCAGGGGTGAGCCTGGATTTGCACTCTTGTTTTCATTTGTGGAATAATTCCACACCAAGGCACTTGGGCAACAGAGAGTGACAGTCTAGAAACAAAGTGGGAAAAATTCAGACATTTAGAGGAAGGAGAAAAGCATAACAATAGCTTAATAGTAAAAATGATACCTTATAGCTATATTACAGTTTCCTCAAGAATTTAAAATGTATTTTTTCCACTCTCAACTTTAAGAAAAAACTAAGAACTATTCATTTGAAAGGGAAAGAGTATAGTCATTGAGAAATTAAAGAATATTATCATTTATTAGCTAATATTTCAACATAGGAAACTAAACTGTGGAGTAAGGCTTAAAATCAGACCTATAAATAGTCTAAAGCATATGATATCATGCCACTCAATAGCAAGCTTCGTGAACTTGGAGAGTGAATGTGATAGTTCTTTTCTCAAAAATATGAAATTAATTATAAAAACTAAATTCTGAAGCCTAGGAGGCATCCCCGTGGAGAGCAGATGGCAGATGAGAAGAAAGGCAAATCCCTGAACACCACCAATACGTCTGTCTCCATTGGTCTACATCCCTACCTCCTTCCTCCTGCCTGGTGGACGTGGGGTTCTTGGCTTCTAACGACAATGGAGCCCTTCTCTGAATGCTGAAAGCCTCCCCTATCCAGCACACTAATCTATCAAACACACCTCCTCTCCTATTCCCAGACTCACTCTCTCTCTCTACTAGCTTACCCTTAGCTTAGAAATATGCTCAAATCTACCCATCAGAAAACAAACAAAATGTTTTCTTTAATCTCCAGAGTTAGGGATATAGCTCAGTCGTAGAGCACTTGACTAATACATGAGAAGCCCTGCATTTCATCCAGAGCACTGCAAAATAAATAAATATAAAATGTATTGTGTATATTCATATATTTCCCTACTCAGCAGCAGCCTTCACGACCCAAGATCCACCATCTTCTTTTCCCTTTATATACACTTCTCAAAAGAACAGTTAGAACTCTCTGTTCATTCTCCATCACTCCTCAACCCACCCTACTCTGGCTTTTTACCCATCATACAATTGAAATGGCTCTTAAAAAGATGATCATCAACCACCACACCATGAGAAGCAACTTCATCCACCCACTACTAACTCCTTTTGAAACCTCCAGTTTATTAGCACAGTGGTTCAGTGTGGATTCTGGAATCAGAGTGTCTGGGTCTAAATTTTCAGCTATGAGACTCACTCTGTGACCTGGGCCACTGTTTCATGATTGGTGTTATCAGAACATAAACCATCCCTATGTGTCATGGGCAGGTTCTGAGAGGTGACATAATATATGTCACAACTTAGAACAGTGCTTAGAACATAATGTCATTAATATGATAGTAAAACTGCAACAATATTGTTACTGTCATTACCTGTGTTTCTGAATAACACACTCTCCCTGCTGTTCTTTTCCTAGTCTGGCCAACCTTCCTGGCCTCCTCTCTGAACTTCCCCTTGGCTCAACTCTTCACCACTCATGACTTTTGGGTCCATAGGTCCTCCCTCAATAAAACTCTTCAAACAATCTCAACCCTTCTCGGGGTAGTGACCAGCCAAGGGGCCTTCATGATTCAAAACCACACATCTGGCCAGTTTTCTGCCCTCAACTTCAGAATCAGACATGTAACAATCTCTTGAACATATTCATTTAGAGATCCTAAGAATAAATATAATACATTATCTGGCATCTATGACAGAATAGTTACAGCACTCCTCACAAATGCCAAAATTTGCACATGCTCAAGTCCCTTATATAAAACAGTGTAGTGTTTGCATCTATGCAATCCTCGTACATACTTTAATAATTCTGAGATTACTCATAATACATAATACAATATAAATGCCAAGTAAATAGCTATACTATATTGTTTAGGGACTAGTGACAAGAAAAAAGTCTTTATATTCTCAGTATAAATGAAGTTTTTTTCTGAGTATATTTGATACAGGTTGGCTGAATCCAGAGACATGAACCATGGATATGGAGGGCCCACTGTCATTGAATAGTCCAAAACTGACCTCACCTAGATGCTTCCAAACTGAGTTCTTTGCCTGCCTCCTTCTTTCTTACCTCCCCACCCTCATAAGCCTTCCTCCTACTATGGCCAAAACCATCTAAGTGAAGTACAACAGACAATGTCACTCCCTACATAATACCCTTTGATCACATCCCAACACAAGGCCCAGCAGACTTCACACTCTAGGTTCCATGAAGACCAACTTGCACATGAGTTGACCGATCAGTTCTCTGGGCCTTTTCCTGTATTGTGCCACTGCCAGGAACACCCTTACCATACCTCTTCTTACTTTTATTCCTTAGCTCATAACACCTAAAAAACTTCCCTCAGAAAGTCTCCTTGAATTTAGAATGGGCTGCAAGTTCCACTTCCAGCTGCCTTAGTCTCATGTGCATCTCTCCATCAGCCCTTCATGGTCTATAGGAACTGCACATTTATGATGCTCTCTTCCCAACAGAACAGAAAACTCCACCAGAGTGGAGACCATGTCTTCAGGACCACTCTAGTTCCAAATGGCCCTTAGAAAAGAGTCAGAACCACTAAAAGCTCAAGAAATGTGAACCCTGAACTGTGAACTTCCTCTAGGGTGGGGCTGTGTTTTACTCCTGACAAGGATGGGCCCCAGCAACCAGCACATTGCTGGATGTTCAAGGACTGCAAAAGCAACAATGTCTGGGAGATGACCACAGCCTGATAAATGATTTAGACTTGAAAGAAACACAAGGACACAACTAACTGAAGATGTGAACTAAGGAAATGCTGCCTGGAAAAGCTATCTTTCCAGAAGAATAAGAATAGAGCTGACTTTTTCCGTGGGGTCCCTGAAAGATTTCTAATTGAAGTGCTTAATGGCCCTAATAAAGGACAAGCACAATAACTTTCTTCTAGACAGATGCAACAAATCTTCTCTCAACTTGATCCAATACAGAGTAATAAAAAACATAAAATTTCAATATAAATTACTTGCTTGTGAGAAAAAATAGTTTTTTGACATGAAAGCTGAAAGTGCTATTCCCAGCCCAATTGTTTTCCACAACTGAATTTTAACATAAAAATAACACAGGCCATGAACTTACCTGCAACATACAACTAAGTCCGTAAACCAGGGGACCGTGCTGTGCACAGGAAAGGAAATCTGAGAAGGCCAGCTGCATGGGGCTCATGCCAGGGCCTGGGGGACCAGGGCTGGGGGCCCCAATGCTCGAGTTGTTTGGTCCTATCATCATGTGGGGTGAGTGGGCAGCGAGGAGGTTGGGGCTATCGCTCAGCAACAGGGAAAGACGCCGGGCACAAAAGTAGGCAAGACGACGAGACAGGTAGGCCGACTGAACAAACTCATCTGAATACTGAGGAACAGAAGGACAGTAGACTTCAGTTATGTCTTGTACTTCTCCAGCAACTATCTTAATGTAGATTTTTCTTCATTACAAAAAAACAAAATCTGCCAAAGTACTATATAAATCAGTATGTTCAGCAGAAATATAATGTGATTTTAAATTTTCCAGTAGCCATTAAAAAATATTACAGACAAATTTAAAACAACAATGTGTTGCATTTGGCCCAATATATCCAAAAAGTTATCCATGTGATCAACATAAAAAGTATTAATAGTATATGCTTTTTCCATACTAAATCTGACATGTGATGAGCATGTTACTCTTGGAGCACATCTCCATTCATACTGTCACACCTCAAATGCTCCACAGCTCATTTGGCTATTGGATCAGAGAGTGCGGGTACAGATCCTCCTGTACAGACCCTCTTGGGGAGGACATTCAGGACTCTCTTCTGCTTCAGCACCTGGTGAGAGCACTAGGGTGAGAGAGAGAGAACCACTTGCTGCTGGTATGATTTCATGTTATTTGAATTATCAAATTCATGTATTACTTTTCTTAAAAAAAGTTAAACTTACCCATATAACCTACACTTTAATAGATCTTAGACAAATCATCAAAGTAAGTTTCCTACACCTAGAGACATAAAGAATTATCAAAAGAATGTAGAATATTCTCTATATTCTTCAAAAGAGGTGATTTGCTTTCACAGTAATCTGTGTCAATGGAGAGACAATATTTAAAGAGCTATTTGCTTAGCTCATATGTAAAAGAATATTCAACACAGGTGAGATTCCACGTAGATAAAAACTATGAACATAGCTGATACACGATTGCCAGAACTTTGAAGCCTCTTACCACTTCATGTGTTGTAGCATCAAGACATTCTTTTCATTCCATTTCAAAGGGACTTTTTTGCCTCTTCTACCTTTATTACCTAATTATTCTTATCAGATTAATTTCTTCCCTATAAAACCAACTGGCTCAAGGTGACATGTACTGTACCTGCAGCATTAGTGGTAACAAAAGTTTAAGAAGATCATCATCCATTGGTCTGATCTTTTCTAAAACATCCAGGATCCATGTCAAATATTCATGCTTCTCTAGCATCCCTTCCTTAAATGAACAAAGAAAAATTGCAACAACAGTGTTACAGAAAAGCCAACTTTTTAAAGGGCACTGTTACTCTTATCCTTAAATGTAATTTCACTATTGTTTTATTGTTATACTGAAACATGGTCTTGTTGATCACAGTTCAATTTCTGAACAAAATGAACTAAAGTTTTTGGTATGTTTGCTTTAGGGTTTTGTATTTAGTTTTTGGTAATCTGCTTCACTCTAAATTGAAAATAAAAGGGAATGCATAGCCTTTCACACTTCCTGAACATATCAAGCTTCTGGAAGGATAATGGGGAATATGAACTAATGCTCAAGGGAGGAAACTTAGCTAATGGTAACAGTTACAAAGAAAAGCAGCATTGCTCTTATTATTTCAACAAAGGTTTGAAAACCCCACCTTTAATAACCTCCTTTGTTAACTTAAAATGACTTTTAGATACTCCAACCTACTTACAAAAATACACCCTTAAAAATCAATATAATGACCCATTTATATATAAAGACATGGAAGGAATTTATAGTAAAAGAACATATAAATAACCCAAACTGGCGACACTAAAAACTCAAGCCATCTTCACAAATATCCAAAATGTCCAAATAGCTCCTCTGGAGAACACTACCTTTATTTTTTTTCCCTTGGTACTAGGATAGAACCCAGAGCCTTGCACTTGCTACCCAAGTGCCTCTAGCACTGAGTGACACCCCGATAGGACAACTAAATGTTGACATAAACACTACAGTAAGTTGCCAACTTATGAATGAGTTCCATTCCAGGAGAACATTTCTAAGTTGAATTCGTTCCTAAGTCCAAAAAAGTGAGTCTTACCTCTGACACAAATATACAATGTAAAGCATTAAAAAAACCCCACAAAAATACTGTAAATAAACTATTTTTACTAATACAGTCACCTTAAAACGGTGGTACAGTACAACTGGCATGTAGGGAATCACACGGAGTTAACTGACAGGAAGAGAGTTACTGACTGGAGGAGGGAGAGTAGGTGGAAGATGGTGGGGCTGAAGGATCATCAGCAATAGGGGATGGAGGGTAAGAGGGAATTTCACTCACACCTGATGCTGATGACACAGTTTATTTGATGATTTAGTTCTGTCTACTCTCGAAAAAACAATCCAGTGACATGTGAGTAGTAACTTTTTTTCTCATCATAGATGACTCTAGCACTGGATGCCATTCTGAATGGCTGTTGAAATATTTGTGCATCATTCTACATTGGGGTCCTGTGCATCAAAAACTAACAGTGCTTCTTCAAGTAAAGAAAATTCCCTTGCCATTTCCTGTCTTGTGAATCTCTTTGGTTCTTCAGTTACATCTTCCTTTTGGCCTCTAATTCCATCTGGTTCTCATTAGTAAACGCCTCATGATGCACAAGCAAGGACTTCAGTGAAGTTGACCTCTTGCAGATCTAGCTCCAGCTTCTTGCTAAGGGTCACTAAGTTGTTGAAGACCTCCTTGGATTCCTTACTCGTCTTCCCAAGTGCATGAACTTCATGAAAAAGCTTTGGGTAAAGGTTCTTCCAAACCCCATTCATGGATGGAGACAGCCAAAACCTTACACCAAGCAAAGCTAATGTCTATGGCCTTGTAGATGTTACAGTCCTTCCAAAATTGTCACAAGGTTGTTTCTGTTTCATCCTGTTTGCAAAAAGTGTGATGTAAATATTTCTTGAAAGTCGTAATAACTCCTTGTTCCACAGGTTGGATGAGTGCCATAGTATTCAGTGGCAGATGTACTATTTTGACATTGGGATGAAAGTCATCCATGAATTGGGGGTGACTTGGTGCATTGTCAAGCAGCAAAAGAATGTTGAATGAGATATCTTTCTCCAAATATGTATTGCTTTATCTCTAGGATAAAGTGGTGGAAAAAGCAGTCCTGGAAAATGGCTTGTGCAACCCAGGCTTTGGAGTTACTCTTCCACATAATGGGTAGAGAACCCTTCGCTATGTTTTTGAGGGCTCTTGGGTTCTCTAAATGGTAAATTAAGAGAGGCTTAGTTTCATATTCCTGGAAACATTGCTACCCAACAGTAGAGTAAGTCTGTTCTTTGCTGCTTTGAAGCCTGGCATTAACTTTTCCTCTCTACTGATGTAACCTCATTCTGGCATCCTCTTCCAGTACAGTCCTGTCTTGACATTAAAAACCTGTCGGGGTAAATAAGCACCTTCATCAATAATTTCTCTTAAAGGGCCAGGAATTTAGCTCAGTGGTTTTGCCGCCTGCTGTGCAAGTGCAAGGACCCGAGTTCGATCCCCGGTACCAAAAAAATTAATAAATAAATAAAAATTTTATTTAAAAAATAATAATAATTTCTCTTAAGTGTTGCTGGAAATTCTTGGGCAGCTATGGTATCTGCATTCACAACCTCGCCACTTACTTCTATGTTGTACAGTTGGCTCTAACCTTGCATCTATTAAACCATCCATGGCTGGCAGTAAAAGATGCACCCTGTTCATCCTATTTTTTCTTTAAATTTTCCAACAGGCTTTTAGCTTTTTCTTGAATAATGCATTAAGCTGAGTGGGAATCGACACTGATGATGATCCTGCATCCACACACTCAGAAGTTGTTTCTCCATCTCCTCTATCACTTTACCATGCTTTTTGGATATTATTGTTGACTTCACATGTTCCATGATCTTGTCCTTATTCTTTAGAATCATGCCAGTGGTTGAACAACTCATGTTATAAGAAACAGTAACGTCTACCATCTTTTCCCCTTAGTCCAATTATCATTTATTTTAACTTTTGTTTCCAAGGTTATTGCTTTGTACTTCCTAGCATTCCCCCCATATCACTGCTTTTCCTCTTGCTTCCAGATATCCTGGGCTCTGACTAATCACTGCACTACTGTACACTATCTCACTGTACAGTAAGCACATAGCAGCACAACTGTGACAATGTCAGGCAGACAAGAGAGCTACTTCTACAATTTGTTTGCATCTAGGAATTTCGTTATGCGAAGTCCATTTGTACTGTTTCTGTGAAAGTTCACAATGCAAATGTTTCTAATTCAGGGTCTTACTGTATAAACATCTCTTGTCTATTGCCTTCATATGCACATGCATATACACACATACACAAATACATTCTCTTGACATTCTATGCATATATTTGATATTGTACTATAGCTTTTAATTATGACTCACAAAATAAAAGAATCTTAAAAATAGAAATAAAAGGCTATGTTTTTTGGGGAAAGACACTTAGAACTTTATGGCTATTCCAGTAACAAACTTAGTACTTATGGCAAAACCCTACTATGCTCCTAGTAACTCCTAAGTATCCAGTGATCTACTATGATTATCAAGGATTTGTGTGAAAATGTATTTTTTTATTAGTGGATGTTTGCAGTACACGCAGTTTACAATCATCTTGGGGAGTAGGTACTGGTACATAATACTTGTTTCTTTTTTTTTAATCCTTTCTTCCCTTCTACCTTCTTCCCTCCTCCTCTAAATCCCCTTTCCCCCATTTTCATTCTTGTGAATATTATTAATCTGAGCTCATGGTTATGACATATAATGTTTACATTCACTGAGGTTATTAGGTTCCTGAACATGAGGTTATTAGGTTCCTCTACTTATTTCCCCTTCCTCTGAGTCTCCTGGAACCCTTCTCATTTGCTTGTGTGAAAACAATATACTGATAAACTCTTATTTGCCATATTTTAAAATTACAGTGACAACATATTTGATATGACATACTAGGTATTTACTTCTTAATTTCTAGTTTTAAAGATACTAAGAGGCAGGGTCAGGGATTTAGCTAAGTGGTTCCACAGTCTGCCTCGCAAGCGCAAGGTCCTGAGTTTGATCCCTGGTACCAAAAAAGAATAATAAGAATAAGAATAAGAATAATACTTCACATAAAGATTACACTTTTTCCTACTTTCAGCTCTCAAAAAGTTAGTCACCCCATGAATATTATAATGAAGGTTCTAAGAGGAAAATTTAGAAACCACAGTTCCTTTTCCTCTTTAATATATCAGGTACTGAAAGCCTTTGCTAATAATAATTTGAGGTTAGCAGAATACACTTCCACTCTGTCACTAATAAAGATTGAGGCAAGTAATACCTCATGCGCCCTCTTCTGGTCAGTATGATTTACATCAGCTTGCCTGGGTGAAAGTTCAGTGATTTCTCAGTCCCCTAAACCCTCCCCGCAACTCTGTCTGCATTTTAAACTGTAGCTAAACCAAATTAAGATGACCATTCTGTAAAATAATTCTAAAGGAGATATATTATAAGATAGGTGGCTTCACCACAAGAATGTTGTTTAATAAATATATTCAAATTGTACAACATAAAAGGTTTAGGATTATATTTATTGGCACAATTACAAAGTAATTGATGGTACTAAAAGAGTTGATATCAGTGAAAGCTAGAGATGTTTAATATGGTGTCTTCTCAAAGTAAATGTGTTACCTTGGATGCAATGTGAAAAATGTCAGATTCCTTTCTCTGAACACATTAGTTCTTTTAAAGATAGAATTTTAATGCCCAGAAAACACAACTGAGACATACACTAGCATAATGTTTTCAACATATACTAGCATAATGTTCTCATCAATGAGCGACTGCATATACAACTGGTATGTACCATAGAACCTAGGCATATAGTAGGCTCCACCATCTAGGTCTATGTAAGTACACTCTATGATGTCCCTATAATGATGAAATTGCCTAGGAACACATTTCTCAGAACATATCCTAAGTAACAAATGACTATACAGCATTTGCTCTCCTTTTCAAAGAACACTACACAGCCTTGCATGACTTGGAAAGATTACCTGAAACATGTGAAATGCCAGCTTCTCATTATACTCCCATTGCTTCATGGCTTGCTCTACGTCAGGTGGTACAGGGATAGGGCCATCACTCGTGCTGGAGGCCATGTGGTAAAAGTCAGAAATCTTGGCCAACTGCTCTCGAAGATATCTGGTAGATATTTGTGTCCACTCTACATTTTAAAAAAAAGATTATAAAATCTAGACACAATGGTATAAGAATTATACTTTTTCTCTCCCTCTGAGTATGTACTTACAAATCAAATATATAAAAATGGCTTATGCATGTGAGAGTGATGTTCAAAACAGCACCCTATCCCAAAACCCTCACGTACTGCACACTAGTATAAATGGGCTGGCCCTGCAAGAGCCAGCACACATCCTGACTAGCTCTTGCAAAAAACAAACCATTCTATTCCTGGGCTTCTGTGACACTTAACCTCTGAGAAAAGATGTCCACACCTGAATTTGATCCATCTGGTGATCTTCCATGTTAAACAACAGTTAGTATGGTAAAACTATGGAAGGTACAGCAGGAACTACAAATAGTAGAGAAAAGCACTTTGAAGAAATCTCAATTCTAGAGAAAAAGAATGCAAAATCCCCCAAGTACAGTTCTCCTAGGGTCCATTTTCTTAAGGTCCACATCAAGTTGCAAACACACCCAACTAAAGTTTGTTCAGTGTTTTGTTGGTGCTGGTGGTGGTGGTGTTTTATTTTTCATTTTAGCCAATCTATAAGGGAGCTAACTCTCACCACAGACTGAACTATGAAAAAAAGCTCTCCATCTTTCACTGCCCCCATAAAGGCCAGGACACATGGGTTGCTGTCCCCTGGCTAAACCACCTGGACCTTCAATTATGCTACTCTCTTCAACCAGCACTGATGCCTCAGGACTCAGCAATGTTGAGACAGACAAAGGGAGGAGACAGGAGATGGGAAAGAAGTGTAAAAAGCAGCAGGAGAAAAAAGTGACTAAAATTATTCAAAAAATGTCTGCCACAGGGGCACAAATTAAATCAGTGTGTTGCCTCTAGCAACCATGAGGAATGTGGATGTGATGCCAACTTTAGTCCATTCTGTGGATAAGAATGTAATAATTGAAGGCTCACAAATTTTCCCTGAAGATTAGCAAACAGCATTTCAAAAGAAACCGTCTTAGGGAAACACCACCACACAATGCCATTTTCCCATTATTTGGCCATAAATTCTCAGAAAAGTTAACAGCATAAACTAAGTATCCATTAGTTACTATTAAAATTACTCGACAGCAGTACACGGAGATAACTACTGTTAAGTTTTGGTTTAAATCACTTGTTGAAACTATATCTTATTTAAATTTTAAATGCACACCAAAACTGTTAAACTCCAATAAACAAACCAATGCAAAAAGTTGATCAGATACTAGGCTAACACTCTGTTCTAAGTTTAATAATTTTTCAGAAAACACCACTGATTACAGATATCATTGAAATTACTCCACTAGCACTAAAAACAAATGTCATCCTCTTTTTGTGCTCCTGTTATGAACTAATAGTCTCATGACACTCACTCGTTCAACCAAACAAAATATCAACCACCAGATGAGACAAGTTTAGCTTAGCTATAATTAACAAAAATAAAAATAACAAGATGCAAACCACAGGCCTTGCTATTAACTTGCCCTCCTCAGTATGATACTATTCCCAATATCCCTATGGATATGGAATAATTTAGCCTCAAAAGTTAAAAATAGCACACATTTGCATATCTCTGCTTTGTCTAGGATATATCTTCTTTTTCAGACTTTTTAAAAATATAGGAGAAATGCATGCTCATTATAGAAAAGATAATATACATATAAAAACAAAAAAAAAGGACCAGGGATTTAGCTCAGTAGGTTCGCCACCTGCCTCGCAAGCGCAAGGACCTGAGTTCGATCCACGGTACCAAAAAAAAAAAAAAAAAATCTTTGTCTCATCACTCACAATCATTAAATATTTGATTATTCAAAGATGTCCCTCAGGACCCACACAGAACTAGTTCTAGGATCCTCTGCAGATAGCAAAATTCACAAAGGCTCAAGTCTCTTATGTGAAATGGAGCACTATTTGCATAAAATCTGAACACATCCTCTATATATTTTAAATCATCTCTAGATTACTTACCATACCAAATACAATGTAAATGTTATGCAAATAGCTGTTATACTATATTGTTTGGGGAATCATGACAAGAAAAAGTCTCAATACAGACATAATTTTTTGTCTGAAAACTTTCCACCCATGGTTGGTTTAATCCAGAGATTCAAAACCCACAGATACAGAGGGCCTTCTATATCTTTCCCTCTTTTTGACTTGATGTGCATTTAACTGTTTTTATAAACACTGTGTATCTTTAAAAAAAAAATTACTGGGTATACAATTTGACAATCTGAACTCCTCTTAGAAATTGGTAAAGCCCTTTCAGCACTATGCTTTAACTGTAATTAACTGGCATTAAATTTTAAGATACAAAGTTACAATGTACATAAAATTCTCATTAAAAACTGAAAACATAAAACAGTACATGGGCACCATGCTATACTCCCTGCGCTTATTAAGATAGCATGATAAGGAGAGGCAAGGAAGGGGTCATGGAGACAGTGGCAAGGTGGGCCCACTGAACACAGCTTGGTTCTCAGCCCTGAGGGCATGACACAACCAAGGAGCTTGCTACCTATATCCCCTACTTTCTGATGTGACTGGTCTGGATCAGGGACCCAGGTTCAGGTGACAAAAAGAAAGAATGGATAAAAACTGCGGGAAACATGTGCAGGGAAAAAAACGGTCCAGAAGTATAAAGTGACTAAGGAAGCTACTCTAAAAGGTCACTACACTCAAGCAATTCAGAAGTTGTGGCCACATCTGTAGTTTGTTGGTGTCGAGTAGAAATTAAGTTTGGTGAACCCAGATTATTAGAAAGCTTATAAATATAACTATTACCAAGAGTGGCATCATCAGTCAGAATTGAAAAGAATGACAGGATTTTTTTTTGGTAATGTTCTCACTTGTATCCCAGAACTCCAATGCCAGAATTCCTTCCTTGTTAATAAATAACCCTAAGAACAGAAGGCTGCTACAGAGGGGGTCTCAGAAGTCATGTAGTCCAAACTACCATTTTACAAATGAGCTTGCTCATAGATGGGCAGCTAAACAGTCACACAAAAACAGGTGTGAGATTCCCCACTTGAGGACGTAAAAACGTAAGATGGGCAAGAACAGAGACGTACTCTCGGCTTCCAAAACCTACAGCAGTAACAGCTCCGGGAGCTCAACAAAAGAAGAACATTCATCCTGGAAGCAAACAATGCCAAAAGCAACAAGGCTCACAGTGGTACCTTAGCACTGTGATATCATAAGAGATGTCATACAGGACAGCATTTAGTGGCATCAAGAAAATGGGATTTGAAATAGGACAGTCCTGGGGTCCAAATCCCCAGTTCTGCCACTCCTCTAGTTGTGTAATGGGGAGCAAGGTATTCAGCTTCTGCTAAATTTCAATTTCCTCTTCTGCAAAATGGAGATTAATAATATATACACCTCAGAGTTACTGTAAGGGTGAGTCACTGAGCACAGTGCATGCAAAACAGAAATTAATCCATACATGGAAGCTATCACTGTCAGTATCAATATGAAATGTTTTTAGAAAGGAAATGAAAGGTAGACCTTGGCTGACAATGGACAGCAGCAGCTGTCACTGATGTCAGACCTGCCTCTGCTTCAGCTGAGTTAACATCTAACAGCTAATGTGATGCCTGGCAATGCAAATCAAAAACCACACAAGCTATCACTAGGACACGGTATTTATGGGATCAATCAATGTTGGCCTCATAGCTCAGAAAACTTCAATGGATCCACATCCTTAATGAGGATGGCCTTAATAAGGCCAAACTCCATAACTAGGAATTTAAATCATTTTAAACACTATCTACCACCACTAACATAACTTCACTAGTTCAAGTTGCTCTGATGCTAAGGGTGCTCTCTCTATCCAAAATGCCTTCTCTCCTCACCTGTATGCATAGATGGAAAATTTTCTGGACCCAATTATAATGTCACATCCAATATATGGCCTTGTCTAGTCTCTGCATACCATCCCACCATCTAGCAAGGATCTCCCTCCCTTTTTTGATACTGGAATTTCCTCCACACTTTTTATTCTCATAAAACCATGCCTTAACCAGACAGTCAACTTATATAAGTGTTGACTTCAATCAGCACATCATAAGGCCCTCCCAAAATAAGTATCAAATCCAATTCCTTCATAATTATTCAGCCATTCAACTCTCAATACAATCTTCTTTCCTTTAAGGTGTAAACTCATCACTACATACCTATAAAGTTGCAAACACTATTAAAAGTGAAATTTACTACACTAAATTCCTCAATACTGTTTTTATTATAACTAAAGTACCTGCTAATCAATGGGCTATAAAAGGTCTCCACAAATACCATACTTAACATTATTTAATAAACTTCCTTGTAAATGTGTACATATACCCTTTAATTTCTGAAGGCTCATTTTCCTAGTCACAGTCATTCCTTTTATCAAAGCCAGTAGGAACTCACCACGTGAAATGAGTACAACAGAGATTTGATTTTCCTTAAAAACAAAACAAAACGCAACTATTTCCAGGGCCCAAGAAACACATCTTTTAGAGGGTCCACTTGACAAAACACTTTAAGTCAGAGGTGACAGGTCCCTCAATGGGGAAACTCATTTGCTTAAAAATTCTTCCTTAAGCTTCAAGGCTACAATAAAAAGTTCCTGATCCTTCCCACCACTCCCGGCCCAGAGGCAGGGGCTTCTGAGCTGCAGTCCCATTGCTCCTGGTCCAGAGGAAGGGGCTTCCAGGCCACCATCCCTGATGCCGCTCCCAGCACAGAGGAGGGGGCTCCCAGCCGAGAGGTAGGGGCTTCTGAGCCGCTGTCCCACTGCTCCTGGTCCAGAGAAAGGGGCTTCCTGGCCAACATCCATCCCGCCACTCCCAGCCCAGAGGAAAGGGCTTTTGGGCCGATGTCTGGCCCACCACACCCAGCCCAGAGGAAGGGGCTTCTGAGATGCTATCCCACTGCTCCCGGTCCAGAAGAAAGGGCTTCCCGGCCACCATCCCTGCAGCAGCTCCCAGCCCAGAGGAAGGGGCTTCTGGACC